GTGAGAGAGGGGAGTGAGAGAGGAGAGGGAGGAGGGAGATGAGAGCGGGGAGGGGTGAAGATTGAGAGAGAGAGAGGGAGGAGGGAGTGAGAGAGGAGGAGGGAGTTAGAGAGGGAGAGGGAGGAGGGAGTGAGAGAGGGAGTGGAGGAGAGGGAGAGGGAGGAGGGAGTGAGAGAGGGAGAGAGAGAGAGAGAGAGAGATTAGTCGACAGACAGACCTATAAGTGAGAACTTTACATTGAGAGCTGGGCATCAGTATTATACGCCAGTGCAGGTCAGTACCTGGGCTGCCGGGGGTGTCTGGTCCAGGCAGGGGGACTCTTCTACAGGAGGGGGTCTGTCTCTTCATCTGAGCCAGGACAGGTTTGGGGGAGACAGGGGGTTTGGGTCTCCTCACAGGGCTCACCGCTCCTCCCCATTCTCCCTCTGCCACCACCCCTGGTCCTCCCAGGTCTGAGCTGTCCCTGGCCTGGATCCGACCTGGCTCCGCCTCTCCCATCTCATACACAGGCCGGCGTTTAACGGTGGCGGTGCCGTTTTCATACGGTACGGCCGGCCCTGGCCTCGGCCCGGTAACAGCCCCGGTGTTGACGGCCCCGGTGTTGACGGCCCCGGTGTTGACGGCCCCGGTGTTGACGGCCCCGGTGTTGACGGCCCCGGTGTTGGAGTTCCCGGTGATGTCTGCGATGCCGCTCTCTGAGAAACCTTCCGGCTCCTTCTCTCTGCTCTTGGGACGGCGCTTGACGGTGGAAGACTCCGTCAGGGTGAAACGGGACCCGTTGGGGTGAGGCTTGTTACAGCGGGGACGCCGCTTCAGGGTTGCCGCGGCGTCGACCCGGGACAGCTCATCCTGGGGAAGGGAGTCCACACTGTCTACACGGAGACTGTCTCCATCACCGTCGCCCTGGAGACAAACACAACGACAGTTTATTCATGACGAAGATTAGATTTTTTTTTGACACAGAAAACATTTTTCATGTACAGACAAATCTCAAGTGTTTTCATACAAATGGATTGAAATGTATACCTCACCTCTATCTCTCCTTCTGTCTCTCCCTCTCCTCTCTGTCTCCTGATGGTCTGTTTCCTCTCATCAGCAAACGGAAAGTTCTCAGCCGAACTACCAGAAGAAGGGGTGTGAGGAGAAGGGGTGTGAGGGAGAGGGGAGAGAGGGGAGGAGGGGTGAGGAGGGGAGGAGGGGTGAGGAGGGGAGGAGGGCTGCTGGGGTGTAGAAGGGTGAGGGGAGGGTTGGGGTGCGGTAGACAGGGGTGCGGGGGTAGGTCTGTCCCTCCTGGCGGCAGCGACCAGCTCAGTAACCGGACCACTGATGGTTCTACGGCGATTCACCACCTCCCCATCCAGACCAATGGCATCCCGCTGCTTACAAATCAAATCACATTTTATTTGTCACATGCGCCGAATACAACTGTGTAGACTTTATCGTGAAATGCTTGGTTACAAGCTCTTTTACTAACAATGCAGAGTTTAAATTTTTTAAATAAATAGTAACATGAGGAATAAAATAAAATACACAAGAATGAAGCTATATACAGGAAGTACCAGATCAATGTGGAGCTATATACAGGAAGTACCAATTCAATGTGGAGCTATATACAGGAAATACCAGAAACAATGTGGAGCTATATACAGGAAGTACCCCGATCAATTTTGGAGCTATATACAGGAAGTACCAGATCAATGTGGAGTTATATACAGGAAGTAAAACCCGTACCATCAATGTGGAGCTATATACAGGAAGTACCAGATCAATGTGGAGCTATATACAGAAGTACCAGATCAATGTGGAGCTATATACAGGAAAGTACCAGATCAGTGTGGAGTATATACAGGAAGTACCAGATCAATGTGGAGCTATATACAGGAAGTACAGATCAATGTGGAGCTATATACAGGAAGTACCAGACAATGTGGAGCTATATACAGGAAGTACCACATCAATGTGGAGCTATATACAGGGGCCAGTCATGTGGAGCTATAACAGGGAGTACCAGATCAGGTGGAGTATATACAGGAGTACCAGTACCGATCAATGTGGAGGCTATATACAGGATACCAGATCAATGTGGGGCTATATACAGAAGGTTACCAGACAGATCAGTGTGGAGCTATATACAGGAAGTACCAAATCAATGTGGAGCTATATACAGGGAGTACCAGTCCAGATCAGTTTTGAGCTATATACCCGGAAAAGTACCAAATCAATGTGGACTATATTACAGGAAATACCAGTACCAGATCAATGTGGAGCTATAAAACAGGAAGTACCAGATCAATGTGGAGCTATTACGGAAGTACCAGTACCCAGATCAATGTGGAGCTATATACAGGAAGTACCAGATCAATGGGAGCTATATACAGGAATACCAGTACCAGATCAGTGTGGAGCTATATACAGGAAAATACCAAAATCAATTGGAGCTATATACAGGGAGTACCATACCAGATCAGTGTGGAGCTATATACAGGAAGTACCAAAACAATGTGGAGCTATATACAGGAAGTACCAGTACCAGATTTAATGTGGAGCTATATACAGGAAGTACCAGATCAAAGTGGAGCTATATACAGGGAGACCAGTACCAGATCATGTGGACTAATACAGGAGTACCATACCAGATCAATGTGGAGCTATATACAGGAATATTTATGTTTATTATTTCCCTTTTGTACTTTAAACTATTGGGACGCTGTTACCAACACTGTATATAGCATAATAGACCCTTTGAAATGTCTTATTCTTTTAGAACTTCGAGGTAATGTGACTGTTAAAGTTTGTGTTATTACCTTTTGTTTATTATTACTTCCACTTCTTGGCAATGTTAACATACTTTTCCCATCCCAATAAACCCCTTTAAAATTTGAAGAATTGTGAGAGAGACAGAGGACAGAAGAGGGACAGAGAGAGGAGAAAAAAGAGGAGAAAAAAGAGGAAAGGGGAAGGAAGAAGAGAAGAGGAAAAGGGGACAGAGGAGAGAGGGGAGGGAAGAAGGAGGGAGACAGAGGAAAAAAGGGGAAAAAGAAGAGAGGAAGGAGGAAGACGAGGGGAAAAGGGACGAGAGGGGGGGAGAGGAAAGAGGGAAGGACAGAAAAGAACGGGGAAAGAGAGAGATAAAGAGAGAGACCAGGGGAGAGAGAAAAGGGGAGAAAAGAGGAGGAGACAGAAAAGAGAAAGGAGGGGAAAAAAAAAAGGGGGGAAAACGGGAGGAGAGAGGGGAGACAAGGAAGACAGAAAAGAGAGAGAGAGGAGGAGAAGAAGAGGGGAAAAGGGGAGGAGAGGGGAAAAAGAGAGAGGGGAAGAAAAGGGGAAGGAAAAAAGGAGAAGGAAGGGGAGAAAAAGGAAAAAAGAGAAAAAAGAGAAAAGGAAGAAAAAGAGAGAAGGAAGAGGGAGCAGAGAGAGAAACAGAGAGAGAGAAAAGAGAAGGACAGAGAGAGAGCAGAGGAGAGAAGAGAGAGGGGAAGAGAGGGGAAAGAAGGAAGAGAGACCAGAGAGAAGCAAAAGGACAGAGACAGAGAGGAGAGAAAGAGGAGAGAGCAGGAGACGGGAGAGAGAGAACAGAGAGAGAGGACAGAGGTTTTGAAACACACAACACCCCCTTACCTGTAGGAAGTTTCTCTGTCCAGCCATGCCCTTGGCCCCACCCCCGATGGAGGACATTTCCAGCATGGCCGCTATGCTCCTCACACTGCCCGCGCCGCCCGTCTCCACGGATACGCCCAGGTCGGGGCCCCGCCGGGGGGGTTTGGGGGGCCCCCCAGCACCCCGCCCGCGTGTTGTGTTGTCAGCGTGTCTGTGCGCGTGTCGGTGAGGTTGGAGTTGGACATGGCTGAGCTGGAGCGTTTGGGAGGCGGAGGGGGCGGGCCTTTCTTCTTGGGGCAGGGGAGGACTGTAATTGGTGGGTTGAGTTTTGTCTTGGTTGGTAGGAGGGGCGGCTGCCCCGGTGAGAACCGTGGCGTTTTTCCCGCCCCCGCCGCCCCCTGCACGCCCCCAAAACGCCCCTGCTAGCCTCCCTGAAGGGGCCACTCCTCTCCCCGCCCCCGCCCCTGCACCCCCACCCCCCCCTCCCCCCCCCCCCTTCGCCCCAAACGTAGCGGTTAGGCTTGAGCGCTTTTAAGGGGGGCCCCTTTTCCGCCCTACCCATTTCCCGTCTCCCCCTCAGCCCGGGGGCGGCCGGAGGGGCAAGACACCTGGGGGGGGGGGGGGGGGGTAGGGGGAGTCTCTTTTCTCTAAACCCCCCATCTCCCTTCCCCATCGGGGGGGTTTTCAGGTGAGTTTGGGGGGAATAGGTGTGGGTTGGTGCTGGGGCTGAGGACCAGGCTGGGGTGTAGGCTGAGATTGGGGAATAGGTTGGGGTGGTGCTGGGGCTGAGGACCAGGGGGGGGAGGTGAGATTGGGAATGGGTTTGGGGTTGGGGTGGGGCTGGGGCCCAGGCTGGGGTAAATTTGGGGTTTTGGGGGAGCCCCCGTGTGGGGGGACTGGGGGTGAGAGCGCGGGGAGCCAGGCCTCTCTCCCTGTATCAGCTGTGGGGAGGGTTTGGGTTTGGCCTGCGGCGAGGGGCCCGGGGCGGAGGTGGAGGAGTGCAGGGGTTTCCTGGTGGGGGTGTGAGGGGGAGTGTAAGGGGGCGCCGGCATGGAGTGGGCGTGGGAGGGTGGGCGAGGTTTGGACGAGGCGCTGCCCCTCTGGTTCCCCTGGCTGGCCTGCCGCATGGTCCGAGCCTCCTTCCTCGGGGGCGCGCTCCTCCTCCTCCTCTACCCCCCGACCCTCCTCCCTCGTCGGGGTCCTTGCTGAGGCTGCGCGTCCTCTGACCCTTGACCTCTGGCCTAGGCTGGATCAGGGCCGTCTGCAGCTCCGGGCTCAGCTCGCTGTCCTGGAAGGTGCACAACTTAGGAGACGTGACGACTTCTGGAGAGAGATGGAGAGAGATATTACATATGGATGAGGAGAGGAGAGAGGGGGAGAGAGAGTTAATTGATGGAGAGCGAGGGGGGATGTTTAAAATGTGGAGAAGAGAGAGAGAGATATTACATATGATGGAGAGAGAAGAGAGAGATGTTACATATGATGGAGAGATAGAGAGAGATGTTACATATGATGGAGAGAGGAGAGGGGGGATTACGTATTTAGGAGAGGGGAGAGAGAGATGTTACATTGATGGAGAAGGGGAGAGGAGTATTTCGTTGATGGAGGAGGAGAAGGGGGTGTTAAAATGAGGAGAGAGAGATGGAGAGATAGAGAGAGATGAAGAGGAGGGAGATGGAGAGACATGGGAGAGAAGTGGAGGTGAAGAGGATGGAGGACAGGAGAGAGAAAAAGAGAGGAGGGAGACAGGAGAGAGATAGGGGAGACATGGAGAGAGAAGGGCATGACGACCTGGTACACCAAAAAAAAAATATGTTAGGTTGCAGGCATTGGGTCACTTAGTTGGGTTGTTTTCTTCAAAAACTGCTGGGTTATTGATGCTGGGTTATTGATGCTGGGTTATTGAGATATGACCCAGTGGCTTTCAGATGGTCCTTTTTGACCACCCGTGAGAGTAAATGTCATTCCGGTTCATCTGTTCTGTTGTATTTTCATCACATGTTAAGGTTGGACACCTGACACTGTTGTAGCTTTAATGAGGCTTTACACAAGTGCATGAGTTCCTGTAAATATTACATATCCTAAATAATAATGTTCAGAATTTTATATTAGAATATGTAATGCGCAAAAAAATATTCAAGGTAAATTGAAATTTGCAGTGCAAAAACAGGAATGACATTTACTCTCATGGGGTGGCCAAAAATAAATAATGAAAGCCTACGCCCCTAATAGGTCACACCTCCTGAAAATAACCTATGGATTACTTTATTCACGCAACCCAAAGGTGGGGTCAAAATAACCCAGCGTGTGTTCCCGGCCACTATTTAACCAGTGCTGGGGTCACCAAATAACCCAGCGTGTGTTCCCCGGCCACTATTTAACATGTCTGGGTCACCAAATAACCCAGCGTGTGTTCCCGGGCCACTATTTAACCAGTGCTGGGGTCACCAAATAAACCATGTGTTCCGGGCACTTATTTAACCAGTGCTGAGGGTACCAAATAAACCATCTGGTTCCGGAACATTTACCATCGTCTGGGGTGCACAAAAAACATGTTAGGCCACAGTTACCAGGTGACGGACTCCAAAAACCGGATTGTTCCCACTATAACCAGTGTGGGGCACCAAATAACCCAGGTGTGTTCCGGCCACTATTTAACCAGTGCTGGGGTCACCAATAACCCAGTGCCCGGGCTATTTACCAGCTGGGGCACCAATAACCAGGTGTGTTCCGGCCACATTAACCAGGCGGGTGACAAATACCCAGGGATTTACGGACATGACAGTCTGGGGTCACCAAATAACCCAGCGTGTGTTCCCGGCCACTATTTAACAGTGCTGGGGTCACAAATAACCAGCGTGTGTTCCCGGCCCTTACCATGCTGGGTCACCAGTAGCGTGGTTCCGCCATTTAACCGCGCTGGGGCACATAACCTGCTGGGTTCCCAGAATTAACCCAGCGTGGGTCACCAAATTACCACGTGTTTGCGCCAATCCCGTACGGTGGGCACAATAACCAGCTTGTTCCGGCCAATAACCAGCGTGGGGTTCACCAACCCAGCTTAGTGCGGCCAATAACCAGGCTGTGTCATACGCACTGTAGTCCGGCCACTATAACCAGTGCTGGTTCCCAAATAACCACTGTTTCCGGCATATTCACCAATGACTCACCAATAGTTCCCGTGATTTACGCATACTATGTAACCAGTGGGTACCAAATAATCCCAGGATGTTTGCAGATTACAGGCTGGGGTCACCAAAACCCAGCGTGTGTTCCCGGCCACTATTAACCAGTGGGGGTCACCAAAATACCCAGCGTGTGTCCCCAGCCACTATTTAACAGTGCTGGGGTCACAATAACACGTTGTCGGCCATTACCGGTGTTCCAAGGCCACTATTTAACCAGTGCTGGGGTCACCAAATAACCCAGCGTGTGTTCCCGGCCACTATTTAACCAGTGCTGGGGTCACCAAATAACCCAGCGTGTGTTCCCGGCCACTATTTAACCAGTGCTGGGGTCACCAAATAACCCAGCGTGTGTTCCGGCCACTATTTAACCAGTGCTGGGGTCACCAAATAACCCAAAATTGGGTCGTTTTTAGCCCCTCGTATTTTAGAGTGCACTGTGAAATACTTTTATCTGATTCTATTGTGACCTCACCGTTGTTAGGGGGCATGTTCTCTATGGACATCACTTCCTGCTGCTGTGTGATTGGTGGAGGCTTCTTCCTGGTGGAGGTCCGCCCCTCAGAGCCATGCTGCATCTCTGCCAATCGCTTCACAGCTAGCATCAGCTTCTTCTGGTGGCCTAGGTGGGGACAAACAACAACAATATATGATATGAGATAACATGATAATGTTATAAGGCATCTAATGTATAATATGTATTGGACAGTTTAATATATGTGAGCCATTTCAGGAAGCGCAATGTCGCACGTCACTACTTCACAGGAGAGGCATTTTATTTATTTATTTTTTATCCAAATGCATTTTTTGGTATAAATGCCTTCAGGAACATGTTGAACTTTCATGTGCCTTAATAACAAACTTGTATGCCATCTGTAAATATGAATCAAATTGTTAAAAATAACGAGCCTAGATGGTTTAGCCATGGAAAAAAAGACAGGAACCTTCCCGCTAGCAATGAATGGCTGAGATAATGGATGGGCTGGACATGCCGAGAGATGAGTTGGGATTGTTCTGCCACGTAGCATGCTTCTGTCTATAACATGAGCTGCTCAGTATGTGTCCTTGCTACAGAAGCTTTAAAAAATATATATATATATATACCGTTAGCCATGGAGAATGGCAGAAGTGTTGCTACTGTGGTGTCTAAGGAATGTATGACTTTGCTAACGTTTGCAAATGGTATCTTAGTGGATGTTGATTCAGCATCTGGGCAACAGTTCTATAGGGGCACTCTAGAACAGAGGAAGTCTGTTGTGTGGAGTCATGGGATTGGTCTGTAGGGGAAACCACCCATATCATGTTAAAGATTATAAATACTTGGTGGAGACAAAGGAGGACAGAACACAACATATTATTTTGAGTCCGTTGTGTTCCCCCAGATGCCTGCAGACGTCTGTAAACTTACGCTGAAAATCCTTTGAAATAATAAACCTTTATAATCAAAAGTACAGTGTAAGCGGACTCCTTGTTCTCATTCGCATAATTAGCATCATTATTTAGATACCACACTACTGCTCTCTACAACATGGCTGCCCTGAATTTAGCCGGCGCTGTCGACAAAGATCAGTGGGAAAGAAGTTGTGACGGACTACTTTCTGCACACGGTCAGTGTGAACCGGAGTGACTTGACACACAACGGGCCGAACAAGTGTTCATCCATGTATACAGGGGTAAGAATCTAGCTACATTTTTTTCAGATATTATACATTTATACTTTTTTTCTTCAGAAAGTTGTTTTCATTGCAAGTTAAAGCGTACTGTTCGCTAGCTAGCGAACGTTAGCTTGCTGGCTGGCTCGCTAACGTTACATGTATGATCTGTGTAGTAATATTATTTGTATCTCAGAGCCATTTGCATTGCTAGTTATAGCCTAATGTTAGCTAGCTAGCTAACATTGAACCTAGTTGGTTAGCTTTAGCTACCTGCAGATTCATACTACAGCATTTCTTGCATGGTGGCTAGCTACGACAATCCGTTTTTTTACTGTATGGGGTGGGATTATGGTTCATTGTTTAGCTAGCTAGCTACATGTCTAAACAATAGACTCCACGACCCATCAATTTAGACAAGTGTGTCGGGTAATAATAATGATAACATATTTATAAAATATTTTTATCTGGACACTTTCTGTTTTTGATATTACTAATATGCAAGTAACCACTTCACTGTACCGTTTACAACCTTCTGTTTCCTGTGCATGTGACAAGTAAACGTTGATTTTATTTGATAGAGTGTGTGTTTACCAGAGACGGTAATGTGAAGAACAACATGACCTGCACCAAAGTCAGATTAGGATATAGACCAAGGACTAGATAAAGTGTATTTTTACTACTACTGTTTGCTATTACTTTCGCCACTTTTAGTCTTAATCTTTGGTTGTTTACTACACTACCTTACTCACTCTGTTTAGCACATGGCCTCACATGTGACTCCTTAAAGAGATGCGGGGGCTAAGGCTTAAGAGGGTGTGAACAACGCTGAATGGGTGTAGACAAAGAAGAGCTCTCTAGTAGGTGTACCAAAACATTCAAGGGCCATTTTCTCAAAAGTGGGGTCACAAGTTTATCAACTTTCAAAGCAGAATTACTTTCCCATTGTTCCTCAACTGCAGTGTATCATATACCATTTTGTAGCTCAGAGTCTATACTTTTGTCCAATGTAAAAAATACAATTTAAAATGTTGCTACATAAGACCGAATTGAGGTGGTGGGTCACGTATAATACAGGATTGTACAGTTTGGGATTAAGTTGGTTTGATCAGGGGAGGTAGCAACAGAGGTCAGGAGACAGGTTGGTTTGATCAGGGGAGGTAGCAACAGAGATCAGGAGACAGGTTGGTTTGATCATGGGGAGGTAGCACAGAGGTCAGGAGACAGTTTGGTTTTGATCAGGGGAGGTAGCAACAGAGGTCAGGAGACAGGTTGGTTTGATCAGGGGAGGTAGCAGCAGAGGTCAGGAGACAGGTTGGTTTGATCAGGGGAGGTAGCAGCAGAGATCAGGAGACAGGTTGGTTTGATCAGGGGAGGTAGCAACAAGAGATCAGGAGACAGGTTGGTTTGATCAGGGGAGGTAGCAACAGAGATCAGGAGACAGGTTGGTTTGATCAGGGGAGGTAGCAACAAGAGAGTCAGGAGACAGGTGGTTTGTTCATGGGGAGGTAGCAACAGAGGTCAGGAGGACAGGTTGGTTTGATCAGGGGAGGTAGCAACAGAGGTCAGGAGACAGGTTGGTTTGATCAGGGGAGGTAGCAACAGAGGTCAGGAGACAGGTTGGTTTGATCAGGGGAGGTAGCAACAGAGATCAGGAGACAGGTTGGTTTGATCAGGGGAGGTAGCAACAGAGGTCAGGAGACAGGTTGGTTTGATCAGGGGAGGTAGCAACAGAGATCAGGAGACAGGTTGGTTTGATCAGGGGAGGTAGCAACAAGAGATCAGGAGACAGGTTGGTTTGATCAGGGGAGGTAGCAACAGAGATCAGGAGACAGGTTGTTATTTTAATATAGATCACAGCTGAGATTGGATGGTAGGAGATCCATTCTCGGGCCTTTAAATCGATAACAGTATAAGCCATCTCATATTAAAGCGGGCAGTCTGGGATTGATACATCCATTCTCGTTTTTGATATTTGATCAGTTCTGTTTTCAAGTGATCAGTGAGTTCAGAGACAGGTGGTTATTTTAACATCGACATTCAGAGCTGAGATTTGGATGGTAGGATACATTCAGTTGCCTTTTTTCTGTCTTTAAACTGTGTGTGTGTGTGTGTGTGTGTGTGTGTGTGTGCAAGCGTGTTGGTTGCACCAGTGGTTGATTTGCAGGTCTCCAGTGATTGGATGAGTAGTTGTTCCATTCTGCACGCGTGTTGTCTCAGTATCGCTGACAAATTGCAGTGCTACACAGCAGACACACAACAAACACACAACAATACAACACAGTCACAACAATCAGGAGTACCACAACAACAGACTACACAACAACATCAAGATCCAAGACAGAACAGGCATCAGATACAACAAGCAGGAACGACAAACCACACAACCGGCCAAACACCTACACACAACACACGACACAATCACACACAGGTAGTTGTACAGGTTCAGCTTCGCCACTACACTCTACTGTCTGGTTCAAAACAGGTTTCTGGTCAGTGTGTACTACAGTTTCAGTGTGTTACAACAGGTTTCAAGTGTTACTAACAGGTTCCAGTGTGTTACTAACAGGTTCAGTTGTACTAACAGGTTTCGTCATGGTACTACTAACAGGTTCTGCAGTGTGTTACTAACAGCAGGTTACTAACAGTTCAGGGTTACAACAGGTCTCAGGGTACTAACAGTTCGGTACAAGGTTACAACAGTCGGTCAGTGGTACTAACATCGTACAACAGTCGTCAGGTGTTACAACAGGTCAGTGTTACTAACAGGTTTCCAGTGTGTACTAACAGTTCAGTGTTACTAACAGGTTCAGTGGTTACTAACAGGTTTCAGTGTGTACTAACAGGTTTCAGTGGTTACTAACAGGTTTCAGTGTGTTACTAACAGGTTTCAGTGTGTTACTAACAGGTTTCAGTGTGTTACTAACAGGTTTCAGTGTGTTACTAACAGTTTCAGTGTGTTACTAACAGGTTTGGGTCAGTGTGTTACTAAACAGGTTTTCAGTGTGTTACTAACAGGTTTCAGTGTGTTACTAACAGGTTTCAGTGTGTTACTAACAGATTTCAGTGTGTTACTAACAGGTTTCAGTGTTTACTAACGGTTTCAGTGTGTTACTAACAGGTTTCAGTGTGTTACTAACAGGTTTCAGTGTGTTACTAACAGGTTTCAGTGTGTTACTAACAGGTTTCAGTGTGTTACTAACAGGTTTCAGTGTGTTACTAACAGGTTTCAGTGTGTTACTAACAGGTTTCAGTGTGTTACTAACAGGTTTCTGGTCAGTGTGTTACTAACAGGTTTCAGTGTGTTACTAACAGGTTTCTGGTCAGTGTGTTACTAACAGGTTTCAGTGTGTTACTAACAGGTTGTTCAAGTTGTGTTTACTAACAGGTTTCAGTGTGTTACTAACAGGTTCAGTGTTTACAGTTTCAGTGTGTTACTAACAGGTTTCAGGTCAGTGTGTTACTAACAGGTTTCAGTGTGTTACTAACAGGTTTCAGTTACAGTTCGTTACTAACAGGTTTCAGTGTGTTACTAACAGGTTTCAGTGTGTTACTAACAGGTTTCAGTGTGTTACTAAACGGTACTACGGGTTTCAGTGTGTTACTAACAGGTTTCAGTGTGTTACTAACAGGTTTCTCAGTGTGTTACTAACAGTCAGTGTGTTACAAACAGTTCAGTGTGTTACTAACAGGTTTCGTGTTGTGTGTTACTACAGTTTCAGTGTGTTACTAACAGGTTTCAGTGTGTTACTAACAGGTTTCCAGTGTGTTATAACAGTTCATTGTACTAACAGGTTTATGTTCACAGTTTGTGTTACTAACATGTTTCAGCGTGTTACTAACATGTTTCAGTGTGTTCTACAGTTAGTGTGTTACTAACAGGTTTGTCACAAGGTTCTGGTTGTTTACTAACAGGTTTCAGTGTGTTACTAACAGGTTTCCAGTGTGTTACTAACAGGTTTCAGTGTGTTACTAACAGGTTTCAGTGGTCTAAAGTTTCAGTTGTACTAACAGGTTTCGTGTGTTCTACAGTTGTGTGTACTAACAGGTTTCAGTGTGTTACTAACAGGTTTCAGTGTGTTACTAACAAGGTTTCAAGTTGTGTTACTAACAGGTTTCAGTGTGTTACTAACAGGTTTCAGTGTGTTACTAACAGGTTCAGTGTTTCTACAGGTTCAGTGTGTTACTAACAGGTTTCAGTGTGTTACTAACAGGTTTCAGTGTGTTACTAACAGGTTTCAGTGTGTTACTAACAGGTTTCTGGTCAGTGTGTTACTAACAGGTTTCAGTGTGTTACTAACAGGTTTCAGTGTGTTACTAACAGGTTTTCAGTGTGTTACTAACAGGTTTTCAGTGTACTAACAGGTTCAGTGTGTTACTAACAGGTTTCAGTGTGTTACTAACAGGTTTCTGGTCAGTGTGTTACTAACAGGTTCTGGTCAGTGTGTTACTAACAGGTTTCAGTGTGTTACTAACAGGTTTCAGTGTGTTACTAACAGGTTTCAGTGTGTTACTAACAGGTTTCATGGTCAGTGTGTTACTAACAGGTGTCTGGTCAGTGTGTTACTAACAGGTTCTGGTCAGTGTGTTACTAACAGGTTTTCAGTGTGTTTCCACAGGTTCTCAGTCGTGTTTACTAACAGGTTCTGGTCAGTGTGTTTACTAACAGGTTTCAGTGGTTACTAACAGGTTTCAGTGTGTTACTACAGGTTTCAGTGTGTTACTAACAGGTTCAGTGTGTTACTAACGGGTTTGGTCAGTGTGTTACTAACAGGTTTCAGTGTGTTACTAACAGGGTTTTCAGTGTGTTACTAACAAGGTTTTCACGGTTTCGTGTGTGTTTTCATCTGATAGATTGTAATCGACTGTCTATATCATTAACTGTTTATATCATTATAGCCTTATGTATAAATAGATTGTTTTGATATCCTCAGAGATTGAAAGTAGTGTTAGGTTCAAGCTCTTTGTGTATGAGAAGTGTAATTATTTAGTGAACTATAGGAATGTGTGTAACTCCCAATAACTCAAAGCCTCTCCTGACCTGATAAGAAGTCTTCTGATGATGCACGGAGAAATCCTGGGTGATGGGGAAAAGCACTGACGTATATCTTTGTGGAAGGGAGGGTGTGAGAGCTAAGGTTATAAGTGGACACTGTCTTGAATGTACACCGTGGACCCCGTGTAGCTCAGTTGGTAGAGCATGGCGCTTGCAACGCCAGGGTTGTGGGGTTTGATTCCCACGGGGGGGGGGCCAGTATGAAAAATAAACAAATACAAATGTATGCACTCACTAACTGTAAGTCGCTCTGGATAAGAGCGTCTGCTAAATGACTAAAATGTAAAATGTAAATGTAAAATGTAAATGTTACTAACAGGTTTCTGATCAGGCAGCCACTCAGTGACGCTGAGTTTGTTGATCTCTGATGTCATCTTCTTACGGTGGCCTGGTTTGGTCACTCCGATGGCCGTGAGATCCTACAGAAAGCACACGCACGTACCACCAAGGGAAAATCAGAGCTTAGCTGAGACACTTCCAACTTCTCCACAGACACACACACTTCATTACCACACACACCACACACCACTGACACACAAACCACAGACACCACAGACACAAAAACCACAGACACACCACAGACACACAAACCACAGACATACCACAGACACCACATACACACCACAGACACACAAACCACTGACACACCACAGACACATCACAGACACACCACAGCCACTACAGACACACCACAGACACATCACAGACACACAACAAAGACACCACAGACACACCACAGTGTCCAGGAGAGAAGGTGTACCACAGGACAGGAGAGAAGGTGATGCAAATGTCCCCAAAGGAAAATAAAGGTGAAGAAGAGAGAGCATGTTGGCAGTGAGAAAGAAGCGTTTTAGAGAAGAGCATCACTAGACCCCGGCTCCACCCACCCCACTGTCTGGCCACACCCACAACATGGCTCCACCTATCCACAGTCTGGCTCCACCCACCCACCACCTGGCCCCACCTATCCACAGTCTGTCTCCACCCACCCACTGTATGTCTCCACCCACCGTATGTCTCTACCATCTGGCTCCACCCATCAACTGTCTGGCTCCACCCACCCACCCACAGTCTGATTCCACCCACCCACCGCCTGGCTCCACCCACCGCCTGGCCCCACCCAAAACCTGGCTCCACCCACCGCCTGGCCCCACCCAAAACCTGGCTCCACCCACCGCCTGGCCCCACCCAAAACCTGGCTCCACCCACAGCCTGGCCCCACCCACAGCCTGGCCCCACCCACCGCCTGGCCCCACCCAAAACCTGGCTCCACCCACAGCCTGGCCCCACCCACTCCACTATATTCTAATTATCCTAATATACAGATGTAGGATCTTAATTTGATAACTCTTTTGTTGCTGATAATTTTCCTGCATGGTGTATTCAAGGTTTATAAAGGCTTCTAACGTTTGTAATTTCCACGTAAAAATTTCAGACTAGATTTGACGACACACTGTATAAAAAAAATGTATCAACCCCTACAAAAAAAGATCCATTAATTATAATCCACATAATAATTCACATTTTCTGTTGCTGCAGGATTATTTTCCTGCTGTAGCAAAACTGGCTCAAATTAAGATCCTACATCTGTAGTAATTAGGGCTGTCAAAGTTAACGTCTTAATAACGCGTTAACGAGGGACGTTTGTCGGCAGGAATTGTTTTGACGCCATTATTTGCTTCTCCATTTCTTCACCGCACGGAAACTTTAAAGCGCACGTGTTTTCCGCACGGAAACTTTAAAGCGCACGTGTTTTCCGCACGGAAACTTTAAAGCGCACGTGTTTTCCGCACGGACCCTTTTAAGCGCAGAACACAGCTACAGTCAACGCTGTAGCCTTTACATCACTGAAGACCGTGTAACTCTAGACAAAATCATGTCAAAGTTATTTGCCCCATTTTTATTTTAACTCTGCATTGTTGGGAAAGGGCTCGTCAGTCAGCATTTCACGGTAAAGTCTACACCTGTTGTAGTCGGCGTTAACGAAGGACGTTTATCGGCAGGAACACCTGTTGTATTTGGCACGTGATTTGATTTGATTTAGCTCCAGTAATATTGGGCATAAGATTAAAAAATGACAAATTAACACAATAAAATAACAATAACGAGGCTATATAAAAGGAGTACCAGTACTGAGTCAATGTCCAGGGGTACCAGGTAGTAGAAACATTGATCAGAGAGAGTAGACCTACTGAAACATTGATCAGAGGGAGTAGGTCTACTGAAACATTGATCAGAGGGAGTAGGTCTACTGAAACATTGATCAGAGGGAGTAGACCTACTGAAACATTGATCAGAGGGAGTAGACCTACTGAAACATTGATCAGAGGGAGTAGGTCTACTGAAACATTGATCAGAGGGAGTAGGTCTACTGAAACATTGATCAGAGGGAGTAGGTCTACTGAAACATTGATCAGAGGGAGTAGGTCTACTGAAACATTGATCAGAGGGAGTAGACCTACTGAAACATTGATCAGAGGGAGTAGGTCTACTGAAACATTGATCAGAGAGAGTAGGTCTACTGAAACATTGATCAGAGAGAGTAGGTCTACTGAAACATTGATCAGAGGGAGTAGGTCTACTCAAACATTGATCAGAGGGAGTAGACCTACTGAAACATTGATCAGAGGGAGTAGTCTACTGAAACATTGATCAGAGAGAGTAGGTCTACTGAAACATTGATCAGAGAGTAGGTCTACTGAAACATTGATCAGAGGGAGTAGGTCTACTGAAACATTGATCAGAGGGAGTAGACCTACTGAAACATTGATCAGAGGGAGTAGACCTACTGAAACATTGATCAGAGGGAGTAGACCTACTGAAACATTGATCAGAGGGAGTAGGTCTACTGAAACATTGATCAGAGGGAGGTTGAAAGAGGGGTCTACTGAAACATTGATCAGAGGGAGTAGACCTACTGAAATATTGATCAGAGGGAGTAGACCTACTGAAACATTGATCAGTAGGGAGTAGACCTACTGAAACATTGATCAGAGGGAGTAGACCTACTGAAACATTGATCAGTAGGGATGGGCATGGTCATTTGAATATTCCAATATCCGAACGGACGTTACTATTCGCTTACTTTGCGAGAGTATTCATTTTTATTTATTTTTATATAAAAAAAAGGCTTTGTCTAAATAATGAAAGGAAACATTGCTACATACAAGGATAGCCCATGCCATTAGACATATGAATAGAACAACAGGGTTTTTCCTGAGTGTGGCCCGTAGAAAAGACGTGCCGGTAGCCTACACACTTATAATAATAATAATATGCCATTTAGCAGACGCTTTTATCCAAAGCGACTTACAGTCACTTCCTCTCCTGCAGCTTGTTACTGCGGATCAGTCAGAGCAACGCTAACCCGTCCAGAGACTCCGTGTGTAGTAGCAAGTGAAGTGGGAGATTTCCTATCAACGCCAAAATGGAATTTACAATTACAGAATGAAGTTGGCTAAATGAGAAGGCGTAGGCTACAATGATTGATTGTTAAAAAAAAGCAGCCAAGATAAAAATGTATTTTCTGTAATTTATTTTTCTACTTAGCTAATGGGCCAGATAGTCGGCAGTTAGAGGTCGATGGCCTCATTATTTAGTAATATTCTACATTAGTAGATTAAAACATTGATTGATTGGTTCTCATCTGGGGGTGTAATTGCATCACTAGTCTGAGGTACACGCACAGAGGGAGACGCACGCATGAACACACACACGCGCACACATACACACACACACACACACACACACACACACATTTATGCACAATAAACAGAACACACAGGACTGTGTCATAGGAGGAGCTTTGAGTCCATCTGCGCTAAAGGCTGCAGGCAGCCCTGTCCTGGCAAATCACAGACGAGGCCCTGGGCATGCTCAGTGTGCTCAGTGACTTGAGCGACTCTCCTAGGGGGGAAACTGGTGTCGGGGGGGGGGGGGGGGGTTATGCATCTCCACTGTCTTCAGAGTTACTGGTGGGTTTGTTTAGTGGAGGGGTTACCAAGGGAACTGCTTTAAGATCAGTGAGTGAGCGGTGAGGTTGACGGGGTGTGGTTAGGGCGTGACTTTTAACTTTAAAGGTCAAAGGATAAGGGGGTCAGAGGTCAGGGTTCCTTACCTCTGGGGTCATTCTGCTAATGGTGGATATGTCATACCCGGCGCTGATGAAGTTTGGAGCGTAGGCCTGCAGCTGAAAGTCACTCAGCCATTGGACAACAGCCTCAGAGCTCTAGGAGAGAAGACAGGTGGAGTTCTGTCACTACGGCTGGCTCTGGGCTAACCGCTAACCGCTAGGAGAGAAGACAGGTGGCATGCGTCACATGGCTGGCTCTGGGCTACGGCTAACCGCTAGAGAGAAGAAGGTGCATGCTGTCACGTAAGGCTGGACTCTGGGCTAACCGCTAACGCGAGGAGAGGAAGACAGGGGCAGCTTGTCATACGGCTGGCTCGGGCTAACCGCTAACCGCTAGGAGAGAAGACAGGGGTGGAATGTTGTCACTATGGCTGGCTCTGGGCTAACAGCTAACCGCTAGGAGAGAAGACAGGGGAGTTCTGTCACTTAAGGCTGGCTCTGGCTAAACAGCTAACCGCTAGGAGAGAAGACAGGTGGAGTTCTGTCACTACGGCTGGCTCTGGGCTAACGGCTAACCGCTAGGAGAGAAGACAGGTGGAGTTCTGTCACTACGGCTGGCTCTGGGCTAACCGCTAACCGCTAGGAGAGAAGACAGGTGGCATGCTGTCACTACGGCTGGCTCTGGGCTAACCGCTAACCGCTAGGAGAGAAGACAGGTGGAGTGCTGTCACTACGGCTGGCTCTGGGCTAACCGCTAACCGCTAGGAGAGAAGACAGGTGGCATGCTGTCACTATGGCTGGCTCTGGGCTAACCGGCTAACCGCTAGGAGAGAAGAAGTGGATACTGCTCACTACAGGCTGACTCGTGGGCTAACGCTAACCACTAGAGAGAGACAGACAGGTGGACTGTACTACGGCTGGTCTGGCAACCGCTAACCGCTAGGGAGAACGACAGGTGGCATGCTGTCACTATGGCTGGCTGAGGCTAACGCAAACAGCTAGGGAGAGGAGACAGGTGAGTGCTAAAGGCTGGCTCTGGGCTACGCTAACGCTAGGAGAGAGAAGGGGAGTTCGTCACTACGGCTCCTCTGGGCAACGCTACCGCTAGAAGAGAAGCCAGTGGATGTTCTGTCACTACGCTGTTCGGGCAACGCTAAACCGAGGAGAGAACAGGTGGCATGCTCACTAGCGCCGTCCTACCAGCTAACTCAAACCCCTGCAACCACCTTTTTCTCCCCTCGGCTAACCGCTACTGCTAATGGTTCAACATGCTATGCAAAGGCTAACCTAATGGACTAAAGGATACACGGAGGGGAGAGAGGAGAAGGCAGAGTGCTAAAGTATGGTCTGGCTAACTAACAGATAGCGTGAGAACTAAACCTAGCTAGAAAAAGAGGGAGAGAACGTACCATCAGTGGCTCTAAGAACTGTAGAGTGTATAAGGGGATAGATGATAAAAACACTCTTCTGGGAGCACTTCGAGTCCTTTCTATGAACAAGCAGCTGCAGTGCAGTTTGCCAATGAGGGCACAGATGAGGCCAGAGAGAATCAGCCATGCCCAGTCCACCAGCACTAACTCAAACCCACTGCACCACCTTTTTCTCCCTCTCCCCCCCCTCTCCCCCCCCCCCCCACTGTCTTCCCACACACTCTGACCAGTACACCAACTGGACCATGGATCACACGGAGGGGGAGGAGGAGGGAGGCAGAGCGCTGAGTTGGATCTGGAACTAACAGATAGCCGTGAGAACCTACACACCCTGCTGGGAGAAACGTGTCCATCAGATGGCTCTACAGAAATCTGTAGAGTGTATATATAGTGTGTATATATATATATATATATACACTACCGTTCAAAAGTTTGGGGTCACTTCGAAATGTCCTTGTTTTCCATGAAAACATACATGAAATGAGTTTGAATAGGAAATATAGCCAAATGAATAGGAAATGTAGTCGTTGACAAGGTTAGAAATAATGATTTGTAATTGAAATAATAATTGTTTTCCTTCAAACTTTGCTTTCGTCAAAGAATCCTCCATATATAGCCTTTGCAGACCTTTGGCATTCTAGTTGTCAATTTGTTGAGGTAATCTGAAGAGATTTCACCCCATGCTTCCTGAAGCACCTCCCACAAGTTGGATTGGCTTGATGGGCACTTCTTACGTACCATATGGTCGAGCTGCTCCCACAACAGCTCAATAGGGTTGAGATCCGGTGACTGTGCTGGCCACTCCATTATAGACAGAATACCAGCTGACTGCTTCTTCCCTAAATAGTTCTTGCATAGTTTGGAGCTGTGCTTTGAGTCATTGTCCTGTTGAAGGAGGAAATTGGCTCCAATCAAGCGCCGTCCACAGGGTATGGCATGGCGTTGCAAAATGGAGTGATAGCCTTCCTTCTTCAAGATCCCTTTTACCCTGTACAAATCTCCCACGTTACCACCACCAAAGCACCCCCAGACCATCACATTGCCTCCACCATGCTTGACAGATGGCATCAAGCACTCCTCCAGCATCTTTTAATTTGGTCTGTGTCTCACAAATGTTCTTCTTTGTGATCCGAACACCTCAAACTTCGATTCGTCTGTCCATAACACTTTTTTCCAATCTTCCTCTCTCAAGTGTCTGTGTTCTTTTGCCCATCTTAATCTTTTATTTTTATTGGCCAGTGTGAGATATGGCTTTTTCTTTGCAACTCTGTCTAGAAGATCAGCATCCCGGAGTCGCCTCTTCACTGTTGACATTGAGACTGGTGTTTTGCGGGTACTATTTAATGAAGCTGCCAGTTGAGGACCTGTGAGGCGTCTGTTTCTCAAACTAGACACTCTAATGTATTTGTCCTCTTGCTCAGTTGTGCACCGGGCCTCCCACTCCTCTTTCTATTCTGGTTAGAGCCAGTTTGCGCTGTTCTGTGAAGGGAGTAGTACACAGCGTTGTACGAGATCTTCAGTTTCTTGGCAATTTCCCGCATGGAATAGCCTTCATTACTCAGAACAAGAATAGACTGACGAGTTTCAGAAGAAAGTTATTTGTTTCTGGCCATTTTGAGCCTATAATCAAACCCACAATTGCTGATGCTCCAGATACTCAACTAGTCTCAAGAAGGCCAGTTTTATTGCTTCTTTAATCAGCACAACAGTTTTCAGCTGTGCTAACATAATTGCAAAAGGGTTTTCTAATTATCAATTAGCCTTTTAAAATGATAAACTTGGATTAGCAAACACAACGTGCCATTGGAACACAGGACTGATAGTTGCTGATAATGGGCCTCTGTACACCTATGTAGATATTCCATTAAAAATCAGCCATTTCCAGCTACAATAGCCATTTACAACATTAACAATGTCTACACTGTATTTCTGATGAATTTTATGTTCTTTTAATGGACAGAAAAATCGCTTTTCTTTCGAAAACAAGGACATTTCTAAGTGACCCCAAACGTTTGAACGGTAGTGTATATATACAGTACCAGTCAAAAGTTTGAACACACCTACTCATTCCAGGGTTTTTCTTTATTTTTACTATTTTCTACATTGTAGAAAAATTGTGAAGACATCAATACTATGAAATAATACATATGGAATCATGTAGTAACCAAAAAAGTGTTAAACAAATCAAATTATATTTTATATTTGAGATTCTTCAAATAGCCACCCTTTGCCTTGATGACAGCTTTGCACACAATTATTATTCCATTCCTGTGGCGGTCCTCATGAGAGCCAGTTTCATCATAGCGCTTGATGTTTTTTTTCGACTACACTTGAAGAAACGTTCAAAGTTCTTGAAATGTTCCGTATTGACTGACCTTCATGTCTTAGAGTAATGATGGACTGTCGTTTCTCTTTGCTTATTTGAGCTGTTCTTGCCATAATATGGACGTGGTCTTTTACCAAATAGGGCTATCTTTTGTTTACCACCCCTACCTTATCACAACACAACTGATTGGCTCAAACGCATTAAGAAGGAAATAAATTCCAAAAATTAACTTTTAACAAGGCACACCTGTTAATTGAAATGCATTCCAGGTGACTACCTCATGAAGCTGGTTGAGAGAATGCCAATAGTGTGCAAAGCTGTCATCAAGGCAAAGGGTGGCTACTTTGAAGAATCTCAAATATAAAATATATTTTGATTTCTTTAACACTTTTTTGGTTACTACATGATTCCATATGTGTTATTTCATAGTTTTGATGTCTTCACTATTATTCTACAATGTAGAAAATAGTAAAAATAAAGAAAACCCCTTGAATGAGTAGGTGTGTCCAATCTTTTGACTGGTACTGTATACAGTGAGGAGAACAAGTATTTGATACACCGATTTTGCAGGTTTTCCTACATACAAAGCATGTAGAGGTCTGTAATTTTTATCATAGGTACACTTCAACTGTGAGAGACGGAATCTAAAACAAAAATCCAGAAAATCACATTGTATGATTTTTAAGTAATTAATTTGCATTTTATTGCATGACATACAGTGGGGGAAAAAAGTATTTAGTCAGCCACCAATTGTGCAAGTTCTCCCACTTAAAAAGATGAGAGAGGCCTGTAATTTTCATCATAGGTACACGTCAACTATAACAGACAAATTGAGGAAAAAAAATCCAGAAAATCACATTGTAGGATTTTTTATGAATTTATTTGCAAATTATGGTGGAAAATAAGTATTTGGTCACCTACAAACAAGCAAGATTTCTGGCTCTCACAGACCTGTAACTTCTTCTTTAAGAGGCTCCTCTGTCCTCCACTCGTTACCTGTATTAATGGCACCTGTTTGAACTTGTTATCAGTATAAAAGACACCTGTCCACAACCTCAAACAGTCACACTCCAAACTCCACTATGGCCAAGACCAAAGAGCTGTCAAAGGACACCAGAAACAAATTTGTAGACCTGCACCAGGCTGGGAAGACTGAATCTGCAATAGATAAGCAGCTTGGTTTGAAGAAATCAACTGTGGGAGCAATTATTAGGAAATGGAAGACATACAAGACCACTGATAATCTCCCTCGATCTGGGGCTCCACGCAAGATCTCACCCCGTGGGGTCAAAATGATCACAAGAACGGTGAGCAAAAATCCCAGAACCACACGGGGGGACCTAGTGAATGACCTGCAGAGAGCTGGGACCAAAGTAACAAAGCCTACCATCAGTAACACA